TGTGACAACGCTTGTACAAAATATCTCAAAATCATCTTTCCTCATTAAAATTAATTGGGGGGAAAAAAACATTCATCATTACAGTCCTCCCAAAACATCATCACCAACACACAAAAAAACGTGTTTTTAAACAAGAACATCATCATATTGAGTGTAAAGAGTTAAGCAGTTTGTTATGATTTCACGCTTTACTTCAGTGGGCATTGTGCTGCTCCTTCTGGTGTACATCGCTTGACCACAAGGGGGGAAGTCTAACGCAAACATACTCCATGTAAATTTGAAGACAAGTTGTAGTTTCATCCATGGTTTCTTCCAGTCTGTGTCGGATAATTTATGTCTGTTGATGTTCTTTCAGATTTTCAATTTTGATTACTTTGGACTTTGTTCATTTAGTATTTTGATTCCTCGTTGTGCCTTGTTTGCCATTTTGGGTTTTTTTGGGAGGGGAAATAACTATTTTATGAGCATCATCTTGCTTTGCTTCCCTGCTTCCTCGCACTTGAGCCGTCCAACACCATAAAAACCTTCGGTCTGAAATGTTCTGTCTGAATTTGTTGCTAGCATTCAAAACGTTAAACATTTAAATCAACCATGATATTAACGCAAGTTTCATTAGATGCTCCGTAATATTTGTTAGCATGAAGCTAGATTACTTTTCTAAGGAAAACTTGAGATTGGTTAAAAACAAATGCTGATTTTTTTTTCAACCTCAACTAAGAGTGGCATTAAGCAGCTTGGAGAAAATTTTTTGAAGAATTATTCACAATATGACACTGCCACCATCCAACACTAGTAATTAAAATGTTTGCATCTAATTTTTGAATCCATTTTCTATCTCGAAAAACCTGGGTCACTCATAAATTGAGGTACAACTACAGTTACGTTGTGTGATTAGTTGATTCACTGTTTGTCTGCCAAACACAAGTGCAAATATTGTTCTGTATTTATATACATTTCTATACAATGTTTACAGTTGACACGAGTGCAAAAAGAAAGTCAATTGTGAATATTCCGAATCATAAAATCCTTTCACCCGTCGGCTCTGCAGCAAACTGACTTTAATTTATGTTAACATACGCCGCCGCTACTCTACGCGCACACCCACAAAGTGCATTCATTTCAAGAGATTTATATCCTATCAAGAAGCATAAAGCAGAGGGTGTAATTCAAATCAACTTTTAAGAACAGCCCAGCGAGCAGGGTGATGCATACAAAAAGACCTGCGAAAACCTGTAGGCGGTTAAAAGCAGATTTAGGTCGCCGTGACAATACTCGCAACCAGTGTGCTTAAACCTATTAGGGAGTGCTTGATTTGTTGTGCATTTAAATCTGACAAGTATACTTTAAGCGTGCACACGTGAGACTCGGGTTGCAACGGCCACCACCGTACATGCCCATGTGCGCATTTTTAGGCAAACCCCCTGCCCCCCTTAAAAAGGTCACGTAATTTGCAGGATAACTCCAAAAGAACCTCAAGAGGAGTACTGTCACGTTGCCCGACATAATACTGCAGGCGTGTTGAAAAGGGAAGGGGGGGCTCTATGTCATTTTTCTGTATATGTGTGTGTGTGTGTGTTTGCGTATGTGTTGTGTAGCCGAGGACCTGAAAGAACTCCATCTCCCTTGGCCAACATGCCATGACGGTGTGGAGCAGAGCACTCCGAATTGGTTTCTCTGGGGCGGCTGAGAACTGGAGAGCTAATTTTGAACCAGGGTGGAGGATGGCAACGGAGGGGTCGAAGGATGAGAGGATGGAAGAAAGAAGGGATTGCAGGATACAAGGAAGGGAGAGTGCACGGGGG